AATTTTAATTAAAAAAATGTGTCTGATAACTCCCTCAGTATGAATTAGTCTTGTGCTTTTTCATAAGTGGCTTGATTAAAACTTTGGTGACTTAGGAAGAAAATTGTTTGAAATAATTGGATGGAAGATAAAGGTAAATAAGCATCATGTAGTCTTTGGTTATGGGTGAAAGAATGGGGGAGCTTTAGATATTTAAATCCTAGATTTAAATTCTGGCTCCTTTATCTACCACTCTTATAATCTTGAGCAAATTATGTAAGTTCTTTAAGCCTCAGTTTTGTTATCCATAAAATAAAATAATAGCCTGTACATCATAGAGTTAAAAGGATTAAATGAGATATTACATGTAAAATACTTCTGAGCACAAAGGCTGCAGTAAATGTTAGTTAATATTAATCATCATCATTACTGTCCTGATGTAGGAGTTCTTAGCCTGAATTTCATTGGAACTATCAATTAACAAGTGTTTATTAAGTACCTGATCTTTAGTATTGGACTTAGACCTATGGAAGGAGCTACTGATGTGAGTAACAGGTTGGTACCTAGAGTTGGAGCAAAGAGAACTAATATTAGTGGAGTTCTTACCACACGATTCAGTAGTAAGGTAGGTATTATTATTCTCATTTTATAGATGAGGAAGCTGAGGCTTGGTAATGTTAAGTAACTCGTTTAAGATAATTGACATGTTCTTCAGTGTCAGAATACACAGATATCTATTCTAACCCATATTAGTGCCCCAGTTTTAAGTTCTCTGTGTATCTCCCCTTTGCCCCATTTCCTTTAGTCTTAAGATTTTCCTATCCAAATTTGAAAGTATCATAGTTGGATTGGATGATAAGGATTAAAATTAAGGGTAATAATGTACGTGACACTGTTGAGATGGTAGGAAATGGTTTATGGGAATTAACCTAGGTATCACTGTGGGAGCTAATCTATTCTTTAGGTTCTCAAAGAGGAAATAAATAATGCTCTTGAAACTTACAAAAGGTAGATCAAATTGGATGACTAATTAATTATAAGGGAGGTGGGTTCAGGGTTTTCCCTTAGGACACAGTTATTTGTCAAACCAACATGTCTTGCTTTAGAAATTGATTGGCCTTCTGATGTGACTAAGAGAATCGACCAGGGCAATCCTGAATCCTTGTTGTTTACTTGGAAAGAAAAGACCTCAGGGTAATGCCATGAATGTATCATTCACATAGAAAGCCCCAAATTCTCATAAAGTTATGATACTGTGTTAGGAGCTGTACGAGAATAAGTAGAATCCTTTTCTTCTAAGACTGAAAGTGTGCATAGGCATTTTCATACATTGTTAATGGGACTGTGAAAGGGTACAACTTATTTGGGGAAAAATAGGCCTATATAAAATCTAAAAATGTGAATGTCCTTTAGCACAGCAATTTTATTTTTAGTGATTTATTCTTCATATATGCATGTGCAGGAGGATACTTACTTCAGTGTTGTAATAACAAATGACTGGAACAGCCTAAATGCTTATCATTAAGTGACTGATTAAAATGTATTATACACTTACATAAGGAAGTACTATTGAATCTTAAAAAGAATAAGTTAGATCTACTTCTATCTTAATATACAACCATCTCAAGTGAAAAACATTATTTAGTATAGTATAGCATGCAACAATTGTGTAAAAACAAAAAACAGGCCCAAGTGTTCTTGGCCTTGTTTAGACATAGACTCTCTGGAAGGATATACAAGATACTTCCTTTGAGATTCTTCTGATACACAGGTCTCTTCTAAGGAGGGTGGGGTGGGAGGCAGTGTACTTTCTGTTATTGAAGATGTTTTTGAATATTTGCATCAAATGTCTTAAAATGCCATGTGAGATATATGCATTTGGCCATACATTGTTATTATAAGAGCTTGTACTCATTGATAAGGACTTTTGCGTGTATGCTTTCATATTTGTGCTTTTGAACTTGAGGACTCTGTCATTGGTCTTTTTGACCTAGAAATGGGAAGCAGTACTGAACTTCCAGAGGTAGGGTGGATACTGGTGGAAGTTTCAGGTTGAAAAAGCTGAATGTGGTTTCTAAAAATAATATTTAAAAAATATAGAGTATTGAAATGGTTAGGTTATTCTGCCTGAATAAAGCAGAAGGGTTAGAGAGAAAGAAAATTAAAGGACTTGAGAACATTTCGGAAGTTTGAGTGTGCATGGAAAAGAGGAACAGAGGAAAGAGTCAACAGTTTTAAAAACAGTTTTAGGGGGTGCCTGGGTGGCTCAGTGGGTTAAAGCCTCTGCCTTCGGCTCAGGTTATGATTCCGGGGTCCTGGGATCGAGCCCTGCATCGGGCTCTCTGCTCAGCAGGGAGTCTGCTCCCCACCCTCCCCATCCCCCCACCTCTCTGCTTAACTTGTGATCTCTGTCTGTCAAATAAATAAATAAAATCTCAAAGAAAAAAAAGTTTTAGTTTTTAGGAACTAAAATCATTTTTATAAACATTATCTCATCTCTTAAATTATACCCTTTTATAAAAAGTTATTTTCCAGACTTTCAAAAGACAAAGTAAAGACGTTGAAGCCCAGATGATAATTTGTGGTAGATAATGTGAGAAGAAAATGGCAAAATGAGGAATAGAACCTTGTTTTCTTGATTTCTAGTCTAGCCTCACAATTAGCATTAAATCACCTGAAACTTGTTATGGGAATAACATCAAAAAACAAAACAAAAATTTTAAAATTTCTTCTGTAAACTTGGTGTGTAAAAGCATTTGTTTCCAAAGTTAAGGTTATGTTTGCCCCAGTCTTAGGAGAAGAGGGTGGGAATAGTGGTTGAATTCAGCTTTGGGTATTGCTCTACCATTTCCTTTGTTACTCTGTCATTTTGGTTCAGAAACAGGAAAACAATAAAAAAAACTAACATTTTATTTGCACAGCATTTTACAGTTTTAAAAACTTTTTCACATATATTTTCTCGTTTTGCAGCAGATTTAAGATACAGATAGTGCTGATGTTTTGTTACTTTTATTAGGCTTTCACTGTTTAGGAAAGAATAGACTCAAGAAAATTGGGGTGTTTGCTCGAGATAACATACCTTGGCCCTCACAAAATTGAACTCAGAGTTTTTTTTCTTTCTACTCAAGAATTAAGTCTTATGCAGTAGGTTTATTTAGCTTTGTGGAAGACCAGTTCTGGAGAGGACACCAATCAAAAAGCATTTGGAAGCCTAAAAGTTCGTGGTAGAATGATTCAGTACATAGGGGGCAGGTGAGGCTCTGACCCTCCTCAGAGTGCAGGCACAGCTGATGTCTCTGTAACTTTCAACAGTTTGTTGCATCCTCAGTTGTTGTATTAGTCTGAAGAGTGGTGAATTAAAGGGAGTGTACTTAACTTACACCCTGCCTGAAGACATGTACCAGATTACTGCTAGGAGTTATTTTGGTAATTAATCACACATAAATTAATGAAATGTCTTTGTTGTTTCTCACACTAAATTTTTATAAACAAAGGGTGAGAAAGGCGGGAAAATGAAGTAAGTCTTAAGCTTGGTGTAGCCACAATGATCCTTTCTGTGTTTTTATATTTTAGAGACTCTGGGAGAGAATTTGGTGTTTAGTGATTACCGGATTAGACTGAAGAAGAGTTTCTGCACTCTGCGCTCTAGTGGTGGTTTAGGGACTTAACTGTGTCTGACGTTTGACATGTCTGTTTACTCTGAGAGCAATGGAAAAACCACTGAGTGGTTTTAAGCAGAGGAGTTATGTCCGATCAGAGCTTTTAATGATACTTTGACTGTTAGGTAGAGATACCTGGCAGAGAGAGGGGGCCAGTGTTAGAGTTGAAGACCCTCAGTTTATTCCAGTTGAACACTTGAGGGAAGACCAGTGTGAAGAACGCTGTTGCCTTAGAAATGCAAAATATACTAGTCATTTGAATTGAATATTTGGGTTGACTGGTGGATTCTTAGTTTATCTCAGGATCCTTAGTATTTTTTGAAAGCACATCGGGTGACTATACTATGTAACCAACATTGAGAACTACCCTTTATCTTGGGGTAGACAGGAGACATCATGGGGTTAAGCTTGGGAGAAAGGGGGTAGTGAGTGAAAAGTTATGGAGAGCTTGGGAAGTATAACTATTGTTCATCTGTTCTTTTTGGAATTCCCCTTTCATATTCATAACCTCCACAAGTCTGAAGACTTTGGTGGTATGGATTTAGTAATATTAAACTTTACAGGGTTCCCACTTACCCACCTTCCTCTAATTCATTCTTTTTTAACTGTTCCTTTTTATATGAAGAGAAGAAAAGGGAAGTATTAAGAAGGGATGACTGGTGTATAATACAGTTTGATAAGAATTTGATAACATTAACAGAAGAATCCATCTCTTAAAGACTCTTAAACCAGTTCTGAGACTAGTTTCATTTGACCCATTGAAAAAAATGCATGTGTATATCCACACAAATTTAGAAATTTTAGTGAGACAACCATATTAAGGTCTAGCTACTTATCTGCATATGTGGAATTCTGCATTAAGATTGCTGCTGCTTCCTATAATTAGGCGGAACATAGAACATGTAGCTTCTCTTTCTCACTCTAGGATTTTTATGTTTTATTGATGTAAAACTATTATCTTTAATGAAGGAAATAAATTATTTTTATTAGAACAAGGGACTTAATAGGGGTGAAAAGGAATAAAATGACTGAAAACAGTCACAGAAATACTTTGTTTTTATAGACTACAACCTATAATTCTGAATCACTAGTTTATGGTGAAAAGCTGGATTAATTATAGCTAAAAATTCACTTTCTCCTTGGAAGTTGTAGTAGGGAATGTTTGTAGGAGTTTTGGGTATCAAACATAGTAGCTACAACATTATTTTGCTGGGATGTAATGTCGCAGGTACAATTTAGGGCTCTTTATTTGTGGACTTTAGGATCACCTCAGTGTTAATTTATTCAGTAGTACAGCACAGTATACTCTGTGGAAAGTCATGCCTTAAATATTGAGGTTCTTTTTTTCTCTTCTATTCATAGTGGTAGCCGCTCCTCTAAAACTTTTAAACCAAAGAAGAACATTCCGGAGGGTTCTCACCAGTATGAACTCTTAAAGCACGCAGAAGCCACGCTTGGTAGTGGCAATCTCCGGACGGCTGTCATGCTTCCTGAGGGGGAAGATCTAAATGAATGGGTTGCAGTGAACAGTAAGTAGCCTGTTTCTAGGTGGACTCTAAATTATGTTAGTAGCCTAATTGTAGGTGAGTGCTGGCATGTTGTCTGTTCAAGGATCTAGTTACCGACCTAACGCCACAGTTATAGTGATAACCTAAGTTCACTTTAGCCTTTATGTTATTTTATTGTGAGTATGGACTTTTACGAAATTTTTGTCTCCTGTTACAGTGTAATACAGAGCATAGATTTACCATCTTCAGTAGAAAAAAATGATAATGATGACAGCAGTTAATATTTATGGAACACTAATTCTGTGTCTGGCCCTCTGTTATCCTTTCTGCATGGATTATTTATATTTCGTCTTTACAATCTCACGATGTAGGTACTATTATTACTTCAGTTTAATATAGATAAGGTGAGACAGAAAATTAGTAATTTGCCTAGGTCATACAAACGGTAGAACCTGGGCTCAAATAAAGAGAACTTTAGGATTTTAGAGACTGCGCTTTTTTGTTTTTTACGTTTTTATTTTAATTCCAGTTAGTTAACATACAGCGTTGTATTAGTTTCAGGTGTATGATATAGTGATTCAGTACGTCCACGGGTCACCCAGTGCTCACCATGACAAGTGGAGACTACGCTTCAGCCGCTGTGCTAAATTGCTTCTTTCAGTAACATTCTCAATTATTTGTCTACATTATGCCTTTTTTTCCCCCCAAAAAGGAAACCAATAATGATCTTGTGAAGTTAGTAAAATACGTTTATGAGATACTCTTTTATTTTGGGGTAGAATTATAAAAAATTTAAAATCCAGTTTAGTTAATATGCAGTGTTGTATTAGTTTCAGATGTACGATAGTGTTTCACCAATTCTGTACATTACTCGGTGCTCATCAAGATAAGTGTACTCTGAATGCCCTTTACCTGTTTCACCCTTCTCCTCCCCCTTCCCACTGCCTCCCCTCCGGTAACCATTTGTTTGTTCTCTATAGTTTAGAGTCTGTTTTTTGGTTTGTCTCTTTTCTTTGTTTTGTTTCTTAAATTCCATATTGGGCTGAAACCATACGGTATTTGTCTTTCTCTGACTCACTTATTTCACTTAGCCTTATACCCTCTAGATTCATCCACACTGTTGCAGGTAGCAGCATTAGTTGTATAAGGCTCGATCCCAGGACTCTGAGATCATGACCTGGGCTGAAGTCAAGAGTTGGATGCTTAACTGACTAAGGCACCCAGGCGCCCCCAAATTTGTGTTGGCTATATGTGTTGCAGAGAATTTCTCCCACCCTGTGCTTGTTTTTTTACCCTCTTAAGGGAGTCACTTAATAAACAGAAGCCCCTAATTTCAGAGTAGCCAAATATTGTGATTTCTGTGTATGCTTTTTGCCTCTTCTTTGTAGAGGAAAGAACACTGATAATATGATTTGCTTGAGTAAAATCAAAATTTAATTCTTTTCTTATAATTAATGCTTGCTTTGCAGCTGTGGATTTCTTCAATCAGATTAATATGCTTTATGGAACAATCACAGATTTCTGTACAGAGGAAAGTTGTCCAGTGATGTCAGCTGGCCCAAAGTAAGACATGGTTTATGATCAATTCTCATTTTTACTTAAATGTTCTTAGATGAGAAGAAAGTTTCTGACCATATAATTTCTCTATTCAGCATCTCCTTCAGTGGTTCACTAATGGCTGATAAATATTAAGTCCAGACTTCTAAGCCTGAGCTTTATGGCCCTCCCTGTATAATCCACTTTCCTCCTTTCCTCTCTTTGCTTATGAATCTCCTCTGGTCTATCCAAACTAGGTAGATTACTGGAAATGCCTCACTATTCCCTCCATTACTTCCACTCTGAAAACTTGCTCATTCCATTATTCTCTTGGATATTTTTCTTCTTTTCCCATCTCCAGTCATTATCTGGTAATATTTCAAAAATTCTTACCCATCTGCAAAGCCTACATCAAATGCTTCCTTATGAAACCTTTTGATTTTTTTCATACTAGACCTGATCTATTTAACTTTTTTGTCTTTGTGATTACATTTCTTTATTTTATATTATACTTACACTATTTATACGTGTCTTATTTAACCTATTAGATTCCTTCTTCATTTAAATCCCTTTTGGTGCAAAAACAGTGCCTGCCACCTAGTTAGCACTTGGTAAATGTTTGCTTGGATCAATAAATTTTTGAAACTGGATTTTATTATTACTATGGCTGATAATGACTGCTGCCGTTTATTTAGTGCTACCTAAAATGTTAGGCCTTTCATACATTTCATCTTTTACTTCATAAAGCAACCCTATGACGTAAGAAAAGAAATTGAGTCTGAGAGAGGTTAAGTAACATGTCCAAGGTCCTATTATCTAGAAGCTGGAGAACCAGAATTGAAATCTAAGTGGCTTTGATTCTAGTGCTTCTACTCTTACTTGGTACATTGTATTATTATTTTACTATTATAAGCTATATTAATTGATATTTACAAGACATTAAGAGAAGTTTTAATTTTTAGTGCTGACTTTATAAAAAGGCATATATCCTACATATACATATATAAAAAGTCATATATCCTACACCCTTACCATATATATGGTATAAATATCAAAATAAAGCAAAACAGGGGTGCCTGGGTGGCTCAGTGGGTTAAGCCTCTGCCTTCGGCTCGGGTCGTGATCTCGGGTCCCGGGATCGAGCCCCATGTTGGGCTCTCTGCTCTGCTGCTCTGCAGGAGCCTGCTTCCCCCCATCTCTCTGCCTGCCTTTCTGCTTACTTGTGATCTCTGTCTGTCAAATAAATAAAATCTTAAAAAAAAAAAAAAAAAAAGCAAAACAGCACTGCCCAGGCTTACGAGTGCTTAGGAGTATTATCATTATAAGTTGTGGCTTTAGATTGCTAATCACTTATTGTAGACTATTTTTGGTGACTTTTAAACAGTGAGATTATTGACTACCCAAGAGATTCAGTGTTACTAGTTCACAGTCATACTTTATTTTTTGACCAAATTCACATACTGAGCAAAGTATTACCTACTTGGAGTTGTCTACTTTATCCTTCAAATTAATTCCAAATGAGTTTAGATGTTTCTTGGAATCCAGGACTTTTAAAGAGGGCTGACAGTTTGCCATCATCAGAGATGTTCAAAAGAATATGATTTGAATATTTCCTAAGGTAATTTTTTAAAAAAGAACTTATTTTAAGACTATTTCAAACTTTGAAATGTCCAATAATTTTAGGTGTACGGAAAAGTTACCAGAAGACCATGAGGAGCTCCCATATTTCTTTGGCAGCAAATTCCCCAATTATTAACATCTTAGTGCATTTGCTTCATCACCTACTCTGTGTGTTTACTCATTAATGTTAATTTTTTCTAAACCTTTTGAGCAAGTTGTAGACATTAATGCCTCTTCCCCCCCATATTCAACTGTGTATTTTCCAAAAGCTAGGTTACTCTTCTACGTAATCGGCATATAGACCGTCCAGATCACTTCTTGTGATTTGGACACATTCGCATTAAATAATTGCTTCAGCAGTATCTCAGTTTTCCCTTTCTGGCCCAGGATTCAGGATCCTATCTAGGAATATATATTGCATTTATTTGACTTCTCTCTTTACGTACCTATAATTTAGAATAGTTTTTCAGTCTTTTTCTGGTATTGCCCTTTACATGGAAAAGAGTTAACATAGCAGGCCTGACTGTTACCTCTTGAAAGACCTGTTAAAAGTTGCTATCCTTGTGGACAGCAGCTGGGAAGTTGGATTTCTTTTTCTTTTCTTTTTTAAAGATTTTATTTATTTGATAGCAAGTGAGAGAGCACAAGCAGGTGGTGGTGAGAGAGGGAGAAGCAGGCTCTTCTTTGAGCAGGGAGCCTGAGGTGGGGCTCAATCCCAGGACCCTGAGATCATGACCCTAGTGGAAGGCAGACACTTAACCAGGTGCCCCAGGAACTTGGATTTCAAAAGGGTTCCCGCCTCCCTAACTCAAGACTGGTTCACTGTGCCTAAACTCTTTGTACAGACAGTATGGCTAATGCTTTCCTTCTGGGAAACTAGAATTGTAATATGTGCCACCCAGAGGGTGCCTATTTGACCATGCCCCAGTAACTAAAACCTGGACACTGAGTCTCTGATGAGCTGGCCTGGTAGACAGTATTTAACGTGTGCTATCATTACTGAGTCTTGGAGGAATTTAAATGTGTCCCTGTGACTCCAGTGGGAAAAGACTCTTGGAAACTTGTGGTTGGTGTCCTCTGGACTTTGCCCCATTTGTTTTTTCTTTTTGCTGGTTTTGGTTTGTGTTCTTTTACGGTTATAAACAGTAGCTTTGAGTACAACTGTGTGCTGAGTTTTTTAAGTTCTTTTAGCAAATCATCAAACCTGGTAGTGATCTTGGGGACCCCTTCCTTATACTGTCTGTCTGATGTTTCCTTATGACCACATTCAGACTATGCATTCTTGGCAGGACACCATAGAAATGATCATTTTTTTGTCAGTGAATCATATCAGGGGCACACACTGTCAACCATCCCATCACTGGTGACGTTAACCCTGATTACTTTACCATCTTAGTGTGTGCAAGGTTTCTTTACCTCAAATTTGCCATTCCCCCCTTGAAATTGACTAGTATTTTACTGTGAGGTTTTCTGATATTATACCAATACCTGTGAGCTAGGGAGAATTACTGCCACGCAGAATACTGCTGTGATCGCTTTCTCAGAGAAACCTTAGGTAAATAGCTGATTAGGAAGAACGTATGTAATTCTTCAAAAGTAGCAGGCATAGGATCTCTATAAAGATACTATAAAAACAAAAAAAATTCTTCCTTTTCTTCCTTCCAGTCATCTGTCCTTCCTTCTAACTACCTTTCTTTCCTTCTTTCCTTTCTTTTCCTTCCTTTCCTTCCTCCTTCCCGTCTTTCTGCTTTTCCCTCCCCTTAACCTCCCTCCCTTCCTTTTTATTTTGAGAGTCTTAAGTTTTGTCCATTGTTAGTGCTGAGAAGATACAGTTGTCCTCATGCTTTGCCATCTTTAGCAGAAGATGCTTGGCATTGTACCAAGAAGAGGCATTTGTTAGTAGCTTAGTACTGGCCCCTTGCAAAGTGTTACTGAGTGATGGCTCAGAGGATTTTGTCAGTTATTATTTATTATTACCAAGAAATGAAGAATATTTTGCAACTTGCAAAATATTTTCTTTTTCTTTTTTAAAGATTGGTATGAACTTATCATGATGACAGAAATACATTTCAAAGAGAATGGTCTGTCAAAAGTGAAATAAAAAAAATCAGTGTGGGCAAAATAGAGTTACAGGATGAAGTCATCTTAAGTATAAACATGACAAAAGAAGAAGAATGGATCAGGAAGTATAAGCAGTATATAGTTTTATTTTTTTATTTTTATTTTTTTGAATTTATTTTATTTTTTCAGTGTTCCAAAATTCATTGTTTATGCACCACACCCAGTGCTTCATACAATACATGCCCTCCATAATACCCACCACCAGGCTCACCCAACCCTTAACCCCTAGTTCTGTTTTTCAGAAAGCTTTAGGATATTGAAAGTTAGTATGCTTAAAAACTTCAGAAAATTGAAAATCATTTTTAGGTCAACTGTGTCTGCTTTTGATTTTTGCATTTAAAAGTGAATATGTAACCCCTGGTCACTAATAAAATGAAAAATATGTTTGGGAGGAAAGGCAAAAATTTTCAGGTTTCTTAACATGTGGGAGAAAACATGGATAAGTACCTGTCTTTAAGTGAAGAGTAATTATGGCTGAAAGTTCTACCATTCATGGTCTCTGTCTCTCAAGGATCAAATAAGAACAGGCCTGAGTCCCCCTCAGAACTTTAATTTCAGATTAGAAAAGACCTCTTGACCATGAAAGTGATTAAGCAGTGGAATAAAATGCCAAATGTTGGGGAATCTCTTGAAGATTCTTTGAAGGTCTTGGAGACCTTCAAAGTGGACTTGACAGTCCTCCCTCTTGCCCAGGGTTGGCAGTAAGGTGTGCTGTTAGAATGTTCAGGTGTATCGTGTTGAGGTTTATTGTTCAGATGTAAGTAGCTATGATTAAATGGAAAGCTTTGTTATTTAACCTATGTCAAGATCATTTTCATCATTTAAAATACTCTGTAATATTTTTCCATTGTATTTCTTTCACCTGCTTCGTTAGACACACTGACCTATCATTTTGTCAGTTCAAACTGGAACAAAACCAAAGTGGCTTCAAAGAGAGAAGCTAAGTGGTAGAAGTAATCTTTTGGAAACTAAAATACAAAATGATGGTTCAATTTAGAGATTTTTATGCTTTGGAGTTTCAGTTGTGTGCTTATTCCTTGTCTTAAAAATCAGGTTGTGGTTATGTTTGGGTGTGGGCGTGTGTATAACTCTGTTCTCATTCTTGCCAGACTGTTTCTACCTACTCATTTACAAGGCTATCTCCTCTACTAGTCTCTTTTCCTTGACAGTATGGAAAGTGTCTTTCATTTTAGTATCCCTTGATCCAGAACAGTATTTCATATCACGTGATAGGTGCACATTCAGTGTTGATTATACCAAAGAATAGTGTTTTGTTCATATCCAGGTCCTATAGGTGTCTTTATGTGGGTCGCCATTTTTCTTTAAAAGCATATTTAGCTCCTCAACCAAATGTACTTAGATACGGACTCATTCTGTTCTTGTTGCATGCTACTTTGGAACTTCCATGTCATTCTCTATCCTTAACCCAAAATTTAAAGCCCCAAATTAAAAGAATTGTATTGCATAAGGAGAAATGTTTTTCAAAGAAGAAAACAACCATAAAGATTAAAGGTGGTTATCAGAGAAGTGGAAAGTTAGGTAAGTTTTCTACTATTATGATTCTAAAATATAAATGCTGTATATAAAGAAAGGTTTACAAGAAATGAGTTTGATGGGACCTGCTTAGTTTGGATCATGATAAATGTAAAATAGTTTAGTGACAGTTTAAAGGCTCTAAATTTAAATGCCAAATGCAAAATATATTTAGAGGAGCAGATTGTTTAAAACCTGTCCTGTGTATGTACATTCATAATATATGTACATATATAACAGAGAATATATACATTTTGTATAGGTATATACTAATAATCTGTGTCTGTTATTTTTCCAATACAGATATGAGTATCATTGGGCAGATGGAACAAACATAAAGAAGCCTATTAAGTGCTCTGCGCCAAAGTATATTGATTACCTAATGACTTGGGTTCAGGACCAGTTGGATGATGAGACATTATTTCCATCAAAAATTGGTATAATTGTTTTGTATAATTGGAATCCATTGTGATTGATCTAATCTCATGTGTTTTTAGAGCTTATTGGCTCTCTATTCCAGGAACCATACTATCAACCGTATCTATCAAAATATTTATAATCTTATACATTCAAAATTATCATACTGAGATGCCTTAAGTGTCTGCCTTCAGCTCAGGTCATGATCCTGGACGTCATAATCCCAGGGTCCTGGGATGGAGGCCCGCATGGGGCTCCCTGCTGAGCAGGGAGCCTGCTTTTTCCTCTTCCTCTGTTGCTACCCCTGCTGTGCTGTCTTGCTCTGTCAGATAAGTTAAAAAAAAATTAATAAATAAAAGTGTCTTATCTTTTTCACACCAGGTTTATCATGAACATTAAGTGAAAGCTCTCTGTAATCTTAAACAACAAGAAGATTAGTGTATCTTGGTTAGTAACAAAATTTGCCCTGTGTTATAGAGAAAAGAGACTGAATGCTAGGTAGGCAGGGAGTATCATCTGCCACAGTCCTATCCATTTCTTGTTTAGGGAAGGACTTTATAGGACTTACATCCAGTTTTACAGTGTATTTGTGGCAGAGAGGGAGTTTAAATTTATGAATACAGTGTGACTCTCACAGACTGGAATCAAGCTAGGTGAGAAGGCGGCAGGATTTGAGAGGGTGGCTTGCTACCTACTGAGTGACTTTTGCTTTTCTTATATTTGCTTTTAAGGAAATTATATTTTCTTTCAAGTGGAAATTGTTCATATCTAGGTAATTCATATGATTTTACCCTCTCAAACTTCTTGTTTTTCTAAAAAAATTATGTTTTCTGGGGAAAAAAAAATTTGTTCTTCTATCAACAGACAACTTTTTGACTGTATTTTATGCTTTTAGAGTTTGGAAGAAGGGTGTGGTGGAGGAGACAGCTATATAAATAGTTACTGTTATGGATTGTTTTTAAACACATTTATTGAATGTTTTAAAGGCTTTGGAGCCTTTGTATTAAAAGATCTGTTTTTCAGGACTGCATTAGTTACATACATCATAATCATTTTGGTTAAGTGCTATCACCTTATCTTTTATCTCCCGTAATATATTTTATAACTTTCTATTTTGACTGAATTTCAGGCTTTTAGAAAATTTGCAGGAATTGTGCAAAGAATCCCTGTATATCTTTCTTCCAGAATTTTTTTCTTCTTCCAGACTTTTTAGTGGCTAATGTTTTACCACACTTGTCATCTTTCTCTTCCCCCAACATCATGTTTTCTTTTTCCTGAACTGTTTGAAAGTAAGTTATATGTATGATGCCCCTTTATCAAAATGTGCTTCAATATACATTTTCTTAGAAAATCAGTGTAACTATCAAAATCAGGAATTTAACAATGATATAATACTATTGTTTAATTTACAGATCTTCTTCAGATTTTTCAAATGTTCCCAATAATATCCTTTATAGTAAAAGAAAATCTTTGACATTTGTTTTCATTTACTGTCATGTTTCTGTAGCTTTCTTTAGTATGTAATACGTGTACTTCAGTCTTTTTTGGTCCTTCGTGACATTGATCTTTTCGAAGAGTATAAGGATACTAATTTATATAGTGTTCCTCCATTTTGGTTTGTCTTATGTTTCTTTGTGATCTATACACACACACACATATGTATTTAAGACTTTTTTTTATAAGTCATCTCTACACCCAACAGGGGACTTTGAACTACAACCCCGACCAAGATTAGGAGTTGCATCAACTGAGCCAGGTGCCCGGTGACCTATAATATTTTTTAAATGAGTGGTAGGCAATGTGCTAACACCGAATCCAGCAGTATTAGTATTTGGCTTGTGTTTTACCAATTTGGGTCATTTAGCCAGTTTAACAAAGGACATGGAGTTTTTTTTTCTAGTCTTGTATTTGTTTAATGCTGTAAAAGTGCCCTTTTTGTAAAACAGTGAGCCTCGTTGAGAGGGACCGTAGCTAATTTCAGAATAAATGTAGAGCTGGAAGTGTAATGAAATAATTTCCATAGAGAAAATATAAAAGTATATTGCTAGCATTGTACGCAGAACCGAACAGGGTTAATCCACTGTGTTCAGCAGAGATCTGTATTGAGACTTGATGTTGAGAAATCTGAGGATGTGAGTGTGAGTTTTAGCTTCACCACCATCTTAGGCATAAATTTATTTCATTTCAGTAAAGTTGTAGGTGAATAAGAGGCTTAAGGGGCTTGCTTATGTCTAGATTCTTATTCCATAGAAGTTTTAAAGTTTATTTTCATTCATGATGTGTTGAAACCTTCTGAAAAGTACAGTTGATATATTTTTTTAAAGATTTTATTTATTTATTTGACACAGAGAGAGAGATCACAAGTAGGCAGAGAGGCAGGCAGAGAGAGAGAGGAGGAAGCAGGCTCCCTGCCGAGCAGAGAGCCCGATGCGGGGCTCGATCCCAGGACCCTGAGATCATGACCTGAGCCGAAGGCAGAGGCTTTAACCCACTGAGCCACCCAGGTGCCCCTGCAGTGGATATTATTAGTAATTTACAAGTACTTCTTTTCAGCTTTGTCTTGTTAATTTATGTTGCCATTTGTTGACAAACTCATATTGCCTTGTTCTTGTTTCTTGTTAATAGAGGGTGTTGTTTATCTATTTATTAGGTGTCCCGTTTCCGAAGAATTTCATGTCTGTGGCAAAAACTATACTCAAACGCCTCTTTAGGGTTTATGCTCACATTTATCATCAGCATTTTGACCCTGTGATCCAGCTTCAGGAGGAAGCGCATCTCAATACATCTTTCAAGCACTTTATATTTTTTGTCCAGGTAAGTTGAATTAGGAGGCCTTTTTTTCTCAGTAAAACCAGTTATCTGCAGAGTTCCAAGGTGGATCCTGCATCCATATGGTTAGGATAAAATTTGCTTTCTCTCTCTAGTCTTTTATACATACCATGATGGTAAGGCCTTTTGTTTCTGAATTCCATTCATCTCCAAGTTGGTGGCATGCAAGTCTCATAAAATAGATGTGAGGGGTCTTTGCTTCATTTAACAGGCCGTATGAGGGACTGAGTTAGGAACCTGACTAGTTTAGAAGGTCTATAGATGAACCTGGTACTTTTAGCATATTAGCATTCCTTCTAATCTTCTGAACCCTCAATTTCTGTCTACCCTAGATTTTTTTAAAATCATATTCTATCCTGGAAATCGACTTTGTGTATAATACCATTTTTTTTCTCCTTTCTAAAACCATATTCTGAGTATCTTTTAAGTTAGGTAGTAGTCATTATATCCACAGAGTGTTGCTATTCCAGAGGTCCATTAGTCATTTTTTCTGGCTCTGGTTCACCTCCTCTTCCTTTTCCCTTTAGTTGTCAGAGGTGTAGACTAAGAGAAGTTGGATATTTGCATCCTGTTGTATAATAATTAGGAAGGAGTGAAAAAGAGGTGGAAATGGTTAAGCTGACCAGCTCTTTTTTGGTGGAAGTTGAGAGGGTTGATGATAGGCAGAAGTGCAAGTCTTGAATAGGTGTAATCTTTTTTTTTATGTATCTATGGGCATATGCTTATAAATGCCCTCTCCTTACCCTCTCTCCACTAAAGAAAAATTTTTCCCTGTATACTTAACCTCTCATATCTTTTTTTTTTTTTAAAGACTTTATTTATTTATTTGACAGAGATCACAAGTAGGCAGAGAGGCAGGCAGAAAGAGAGAGAGAGGGAGGCAGGCTCCCTGCTGAGCAGAGAGCCTGATGCGGGGCTCAATCCCAGGACCCTGAGATCATGACCTGAGCCGAAGGCAGAGGCTCCAATGCACTGAGCCACCCAGGCACCCCACACATTTTGTATCTTAATTTCACCTATATAAACACATTTTAGGAGATCTTAACTTGCCAAAACTATTGCTCTGAGCAGTTACTTTACCATGGAATACCATCTGTAGACACATACGTAAACCCATAGATACAAAGAAAATGTTATCTAAGAGTTTTCTTCTGTGCTTTGGCTTAGGCAGAACATGATTGCCAGTGTTCAGGTTTTAGTGATTTAGAGGATATTCTTCCACCAGAAGGGTTAGTTTTATCTTACTGTATGATCTTATCTTATTTTTAAAGGACATTTATTTATTAGAGAGAGGGACAGAGCATGAATAGGGGGAGAGGGAGAGCAGAGGCAGACTCCCCACGGAGTGTGGATCCCGTCACGTCACGGGGCTTGATCCCAGAACCCTGAGATCACGACCTGAGCTGAAGTCAGATGCCCACCCAACTGAGCCATCCATGCACCCCTGTATGATCTTATCTTAAAGTACAATGTTCTCTCTCAACTCTTAGCAAATAGTAGGGGATTGATAAATAAACCATTTACCACATCTGAGCCTTTTTATATCTCAAGACACTGTGACCATCTTAAAGCTAAGTCCATTAGTTACACAGTCACCCTTTGACTGAGCAAGAGGGGCCTCTGCCCTGGACCCTACTATTTAGAGAACCCTATTGCGACCCTTCTCTAGCTGTACTCCCCACAGGGCAAAGAACATATCTCCTAGATTCCACTGGTTTGTGCTTAGGTACCTGACACTTCAGAATTTCCTTTCCTCATGGTCCCATTTTTATTTCCAGTGCCTGTATGGACCTTATCCTTGGACCCATTCTTTCAAGGGAAGGTCATATCTCTGATATGTGTACCTCTAGATCTAGGGGGTAGTCAGATGGCAGCAGGTGATGAGGGTATGTGGTCTGTTAACTCTTTTCACTCTTCTTATAATCCTGAAATTGCCTGACTTTTCACTCTTCTTATAATCCTGAAATTGCCTGAGATGCTAGATCTTTTGGTTCCCCACCTGGTTAACTATGTCTGAATGATACTCAGGTTATTCCGTTTTAACAAGAAGCAATGCTCACAGGGAGCCTGGGTGGCGCAGTCGTTAAGTGTAGTTGGGCATCTGCCTTCGGCTTGGGTCCTGATCCCAGGGTCCTGGGATCAAGCCCCCATATGGGGCTCCCTGCTCGGTGGGAGGCCTCCTTCTCCTCTACCACTTCCCCTGCTTGTGTTCCCTCTCTTGCTGTGTTTCTCTCTGTCAAATGGATAAATAAATCTTAAAACAAACAAACAAACAAAAAAAGCATTCCCACTTACTGAGTTATCACTTTATGCCAGGGATTACACGAAGTGGTTAGCACACAGGATCACATTTAGTCCCCACAGTAATTTTATGGTGGGGGATTTACTCTAGGGTTATTATAGACATGTACAACAGAATATCCAAAGTGCTTAAGTGATTTGTCTAAGGAGAACATAGCTAGGGAAGAGAAAAACTTTTTTTTTTTTTAAAAGATTAGACTTTTATTGACCTTGAAAGCTAATTTCCAAAAAGTGTTAATAGAAATCTGCTTTGGAATAAGATGTAAATAATATATCTAATATATAACTATTTTTCCTGTCTTTAACATGCGTAGGAATTCAACCTTATTGATAGAAGAGAACTTGCACCACTCCAAGAACTGATTGAAAAACTCACCTCAAAGGACAGATAAAAGGATGAAGAGCTGTGCAAGTTGTTCCTCAGATGAAGTGTGTTGAGTGTATATGGATTTTGTTGTGTTTTATTTTTATCTCAGTCATTTTTGTCCTAGGTTTGGGGGGCTTGTTTGGGTTTGATTTTCTTTATTCCGAATAAATGAAACCATACTCTGTTGCTAGAGGAAGCCAAGAACCATTCTCTATATATTTGATAGGGGTAAATTTTGTCATAGTGGCTGGCATACGGTTTTTGTTTTTTTACTTGGTTTGATTACTTGCAGAATTTTTGATAATACTGCGTGTTGAAAGAAAATGCTTACTTGATTAGATTGCTGATGGATGGGGGTTCTGTGTTGTGTAAATTGTGGCCAGTTTTTGAAGTCCCCAAGAGACTTATGTTTTTAAGTGCCTTGGCAGGCTCACTTCTGAGGTGCAAAGCACATAGAACTGAACAGGGCTTGAAATATTAGGAATACTACCCAGGGCACTTACTGATGCATGTTTTAAAACATCTGTGATAAAAGCCATAGTTTACCTAAATTGGTGATCTCCAGCTTTTACTACATTGAAGAAACACAATTTGTAAAGGTGTGCATGTAGAACATAAAAAAGTAGTATTATTTTTTGATATTGGTGGTAATTCTGTTCAGCAAATGCTTAAAGTTCTACAAGTAGGTCTTTTTCCATCTTTTGGTATCTGTGATATTAAAACTTGAGGATGTTGGAGTGTAATACCTATTGTATTTTAGCTTCTTTCCACGTGTTAACTGCACTGTAGGTGTAAAATTTCAGGTTATATATAGGTTTGCCATCTTCAGAGGTGATGCTGAACTGTGAGGTTTCTTAGCAATTGCCAAATGAGCCATAAGTCTACAGAATTCCCTTCTGTTTTGAAGAGGAGGGGATGGATAGGAGTGTGTGCTTGGTTGGGAGGGTTAGTTTGTGGGGAGCTATAGATGGGATAAGTATGGTGAGCCAAGTTCAAAAGGTCTTGTCTTAAAATCATTGAATAGAGTGGCATGAAGATTTTAATCAATTTCTTGTAAACAAAGTCTTAGAGACTTCCTTTTAAGAATCAACTTCCGTGAGAAGTTAAAAATAAATTATTAATTTTAGGTGTAGACGTTAATCATGAAATTTAAGGACCGTTTGGAGGAATTGATCACGCTCCAGCATTTCCATTCAGTGAATGGAGCTGGTGTTTGCCTGTCATTTTAAAATGATACAGTACCTTCTTTGCTTATGATAGGCCCAATTTGAAGCATTCTGACTTCTGATTTTTCCACTGTGAAAGGAAATCTTTTTCTTTGCAGTGATCTCAAACAATGAAAGTGCTAATTTGGTAGTATTAACTTTTACATTTTATTTGTCATGACTTTCTAGTGAATTATTCCCATGAGTAAAACGTTCAGAAACTTAGTTTTAAAAATAATATTAGCATTTTTTACTTCAGTTTTATTCTCAAGAAGTATCTTTTTCAGGCTTCCAGTTTTAATTTTGTAATTTCTAGTAAATTTCATTCCTTCAGTTTCCTCTATATAGAGTTCCCTCAGTTTGAAATACACACCTTTTTCCTTGTAGAATAGAAATCTTGTTCTGAAATTATATAGACTAAAAATGGTCAGTAGGAAAAAATCTAAAATGAAATCACTTTGTTTTTGCCATTAACAAGGAGAGCAGTGATACAATTTAATGCCATTGCAATTATGATAATTAGGAACTGCCTTTTTCTCCATTTCATTTCTAACAATCATTCTCCAAGTACCAATAGTAGAAGTAACAGGAAATCCTGGCAGAGGCAAATACATGGGACACTTATTGGTAATGTTTCTTCATAGATTGCAGTGAGAACAAGCTAACTTCCTTAAAACAGATCTTTTATTACCCAGATAGGTAGTATCAGCCACTATGGTTGATTCAAAAATAAAATTTAGTGTCAAATAATTTGGGGTCCTGTTTGTTTATGAAAACGAAGCACATGATTTTTCAAGTAGTCTTCCATACTGCATTTGACTTTATATCAACCCAGTAACAAAGGGGTTGCAATAGCCATGTGTAGAGAATAGTGAAAAATTGTTCTTGCTCTTTTTAAGCCTTACACACTAGTACACTGTAAAAATGGAAAAATGTTTCTGTAAATTAATATTTAGTAGTAGGCCCTACTTTCTACTGTATGTAGATAGGAGTTGTCACTGTGTCAGAATCTCAGGTGCCTGCTTCTGAGTATTCCTTTCAACAGAGGTATTATTAGGAAGTAAGGAGATGTGTAAGTGTATATATATATGGTAACAAAGTAGAGAAGTTCTCCCAGGGAGAGGCCTGGAATTGTACATGGTATTACATGACTGTAGGTAAGGAAACACTCACCAGAGCATGTGAGAAGTAACTGATTGAACAGAACGTTGCTTTGATTAGTTCCCATGAGCACTAAGATGCCCTTTACAGAATAAGGATCAAATCGTGGTTTTACAGCAGAGTTTGCTTATGAATGTGTCTTAGATTCTTTCCAGATCTCTTAATTTAATTTATAAATAAGCAAGATCATGATTTTCCCCCTTGTTCTTTATACAGAGATAGAAAGCAAAAGTTGGTTTTCTCACCCACTAATAAAAGCTTCAAATATAAAATAGTAAGTTAACGTAGTATTATTGTCACAATGCTTTGGTTAAATGTTGAAATGAAGCAAGTTTTAGGAATGATTTTAAATGGTGGAGTAATGGTGGTGGAGAGAAATTAATAACAAAGTGAAAATCTTTCACTAAGCAGTAGATGGTGCTACTGGATTTCATTTGCTGACTTGATTTTTTTATATCCCATAAAAACCATGACATTAGACTGCATTAAAACAGTAGCATGTGTTAGTTTAGCCGGTAGAGGCTTTGGTGGTTAGTTTACTTTAAATTGAAAGATTTTAGATTGCTCTTTCTACTTTTGTCATTTGCAAATTCTAAAGGGTCAGCATAAAATGTATTGGGTGGGAGAAGACAGGTTTAGTGTATAATATATCTCAGACTGAGTTACTGCCTGGTTATCAGGAAAGATAAAACACTACAATCTCTTATCTTCAGGAAATACAGATGATGTGGATATTTATATTTTACATGTAATCACCAAACTCCATTTTATGTATTAGCATTTTCCTTGCTTATGGGAAAATAGCAAAATGACATTTGTTTTATACCTTTGTGTACACCCTCTCTGAGAGAGGTTTTGATAACCACTGAAATGGTAAAATATGTGAGATACAATTATTAAGTTGTAGGACTTTCTTTTAAAATAAGTATGTCATACCTTAAATATCCAAATGAGAGTTGATCTTCAGAGTGGTTCCTGTGGGAGCACTACTCTTTCCAGCTATGTTTTGAAGGTTTAATGTTTTTAGAACATTTAGTGATACCTGAGAATTGGTTTATGACTATGCAAGAAAATTCATCATTTTAGTTGCACTGAAAACTTTTGGCAGCTTGATATGACCTATCTCCGTCACCGAACCAACTTTACTTTGCTGTTTTTTTAGAACTAAACCATTAGGGAAGTTCAAAAGACTGCCACAGGTTCTGAATTTGCAGAAGCAAGTGTTTTGAGCATTGGTAGCATCATTTAATAAAGATTTAATAAAGGAGTAGTGCCTGATGTCACTACTTTGAAGTAGACAGTATCATTTGGATATATAGGTTTTATTTAATTTTTAAAAATTTAGTTTAATTACCTTACAGCTAAATATAATTAAAAAATCAAAGTCTATCTCTTGTTTTCTAATTTTATTTCTTTCCCTGATACCTTTTGTATTTTATCTCAACTACTATAGGATATTTTTGGTTGAAGGGATAGTAAGAAAAAAATGGATCCAATATTTAAGATAGAAGTAGCTTAAGATAACAACAGCCTTTACTTTTTTAAACATATTTTCACTCAAATGAACAATAAGAATTTAAAGACTGCAGATCATTGTACAAAGAAATTGGAATAAATTTTATATAATAATTATGCTGAGTTTTAAGCCTGCATATCACATAAAATATTTAAAATTGTATAATCATTTCATATATCATTTATAACTTTAAAATTTTCAGTGTCTTTTTAAAAGATGTGGGACTTGTAATTTGTACTTTGTCATTTGAAAATGTGACTGTATACCAAGGAGAAAACTGATTTTGCAACTTAATCTGCAATACTAAAGAATAGACCCAATTTTTACAAACAGTATGCTGGGTCAGTACTTGAAGAACCACTCCTAAAATAACTTAAATATTGGAGTTTTGTCATAATATTAAGATTCACCCATAGGAATTACTGTTTTTTTTTTTTTAATATCGGTTTAATGTTGTAGGAAATTAATATTTAGAGGTAAAGATATGTCAGGATTTCACGGAAAAGTTTAATTTTAAGATATAGCAATTCTGACTGTAAACAGTTTGAATTTTTAAGATGTTCCTAATGAGTTAGTCATAGAGAATATTTTAAAGGTATGATACTGTGTTCCATGTCTTCCATTTATAGCTGGACTGGTACTTAAATTTTGACAAAAGAGAGAAAATACAGATTAAAATACTGAATAATCTCAGTTTTGCAAGTATGATGCAAATTCTTTTTGGGCATGTAATGCTGTGCAATAGAAAATTTTAGATTATAATTCTCAAAGCTACTGAAATCACTGGCTTTTTTTCATTCTGTTTGTCATCTCCTTTTCCTTAAGCTATTGACTTACCGTCTCCTGACCCCCCGTCGCACTAAGAAAACAAGACAGATAGGTTTATTGTGCAGGTCCTCCTTGTTACTGATTGTGAAGTACTTTCTGTCAGTACATTGGCAGAAGTGTTGGAAGGTGCAACTTATGTAAGTATTTTTGGGTTATTTTTTGGTTGACAGCTTCATTTAAATTATGTCACTGAACCTGAGATTATTAGTGATATAAAATTTTTGTTAATATTTAATTTTTCTTCTGTGTTATTAAATTCTTATGTTGGTGTTTTGCACATGTTTTCATTTTTGTTCTGAAGTACTTGTGCAAATTGTAAAATAGATTAGCACATTTTCATGTTAAGAACGTGTTTCTCCTTAAATTGTTCTGCAGAGATAACTATTTTTAGGGGAAATAGTTTTTTACAGCCACTAGATTGTATTTGTTATTTTTGTACATGCATAACTAAGGTGATAAGGAACCCAATTCTGTGGAGAACACTTAACTTTTGTTCTGTTTGAAATTTTCCTATACATTATTACTGAAAATTATGAAGGAACTATCATGAAATCTAGTTGAGAGAGAATACAGTAAACATGACAAGACTTAAAAGTTGGGTAAAGATCATTTCTGAGGACAAAAGTTGAATATTGCCAGTACCAAAAAATGGAAACATAGTGGCAACATTCACACTGTGTAAACATTGCAGAGAATACAAAAGACAGGGATCCTGCTCTCATGGAGATACATAGTTTTTCTCTATTTTAAGTAGCTGGATGGGGAAAAATGGTCTAAAATATGAAATGCAACATGAACAGTATATTGAAAACTGTGCCAAGATTACTCAAATTCTAGTTATTAATCATCAAAGTTTAATTGCTCCATCATTTTATTTTAAAAGGGGATACTGAATGTCAGAAAATCTGTAATATGTTTGAGAGATGTAAATAACATATATAGACTTGTATGTGATGGGATGGGAAATATTTAAATTCTAGGGTTTTTTTTAAAGGAAGAAACTGAATGTTTATTTAAAAAATTAATAAATAGTTATGTTTGGCCATGAATCCTGACTTGGCATTACTGATTATTTACTGTAGATGTTCCCACATTAAACACATTACTAGAGAAATGTTGAAAGTATGGAATATGTTGGACATATAAGATTTGTTAGGCATTACTTTAAAGATTTATTTATTTTAGAGAGAGAGAGAGCACACAAATATGTGCATGTGAGTTGGAAGACAGGCAGAGAGAATCTTGAAGCAGACTCCCTGCGGAACTCGGAGCCTGACATGGAGCTGCATCCCACAACCCATGAGATCATGACTTGAGCGAAACCAAGAGCTGGTCACTTAACCGCCTGAGCCACCCAGGTGTCCCTGTTAGGCCTTGTTTTTAATAAGGTTCACAACAACCCCAGAGGTTAGTATCTCATTGTCTTACATACTAGAAAACTGAAACCCAGGAATTGTAGAAGTCACTGATGAGGACCAAGATATAAAAACACAAATAGGCTTGACCTTGAAGCCAGTGCTTTTGTTTGTTTTCTTTAAATGTTCTGCTGCCCTGAGAATGGTTAGCAACATAATTGTTGGCCTTTCTATCAAGCTTCTACCTATTATTTTATTTTCGTTATAGACCAATAAGGAATATTAATAAACAGTTTTGGAGGATCTTCGTTTTGCCCCGATACCTAAATTCCAGAAGGAATTGTGTGTGTTAGAGTGTTCTCAGAGCCATTATTTAGAGACATATATGTTTAGAGGCATTTTGTGTTTGGACCGTCAAGTCACCACAGTTGCCCAGGGTCACTAATTGATATTTATAGAAAAGATAGGAGTAGAAGAAATACTAGTCCATACTGGTAAGATTTGTGCCTGTAGACTTTGATGAAAACACCTTGTTATTTTGCACGTATAGTATCTACAGAGCACCCATTGTGTATAAAGAAATAAACACATACCCATGTAAAAATTAACTATATTTTGATAATTAGGTTCACTTGCCTCTATTGTACTAAATTTAAATAGTTAATTCTTCAGTATATAATATTATTTGGAATGATGCATTTTGGTATCAAGTTCTAAATATTCCTTTAAGTAACCATGTTTAATAAATGTTAAACTCCTGTGTTAAATAGCCTATTGAGTACAGTGTCACATTTTCTTGATGACCTAGCATGCAGCATAATATATTTTCCTTTGAGAAAGAGCTATATAGGATCCATGGCTCCCTGTTCATGCCCTTCTAGCAAGTTATTATGCTGTTGCACTTCACACTTGCTAGAAGTACCCTGACTCCGCACTCTTGATTTTATGATGGCTTCTGCATTCGTATGTTTCTAGGCAATGATGATGGTTGCAAGGAGTAATTTATAACCAAGCTTATTAAGTCAATCAATACCATTTTACAGAAGTTGTTAGGTTGGTGTGTACAAATGCATGGGCTGTAATCACTACTTATCAATGTTCAGGGACTTTTATTTTTTTTCCCCTTTGTTCTCATTTTCTGAGTTGCTTTAGAGTTTTCTTAATAAACCTATATGTCAAGATCCTGTCTTTAGTTATACCAGCATTCTCACAGAAGAAAAGGAATTCCCAAATTGAAGGAGTTGTAAAATTTCTGGCAAAGAAGGGTGAAAATGGTAGCATGGTCACAACTGGCTGGGTGTTCCGACACCCTGTCTTTTATCTGCAATTCCAGAATCTGAAAAGCTTGGAAAACTGCAAGTATTTTCTTGAATTTGGTGCAAACTTAACCCAATCTGGAGTTACTAGTTTTCAATACCACTTAATGTGAAGTCTGTGTTTCACTGCAAATTATCTGTGTATTTAATTTAACACCTCTGCAGGAGGGTGAGGGATGGTTACATACATATGTACTACACGACTATATGTTTCTAAAATCCAAAAATTTTTGCATTCTGAAACATCTGGCTGCAAGGGTTTCAGATAAGGAGTTGTAGATAAAAATCAAGGAGGGTTTTTTTTTTTTTTTTAAGATATTATTTATTTTAGAGAAAGCCATGTGAGCAGAGGGAGGAACAGAGGAGGAAAGAATCTCAAGCAGACTCTGACCCAAGCCCAGAGATCGGTGCAGGGCTTGATATCACAACTCTCAGATCAGGGCCCTGAGATCACGACCTGAGCTGAAACTATGAGTTTGGCGCTTAACTGACTTAATCACCCAGGCACCCCCAAAATCAAGGATATTTTTTAAAAAGTGCTTTTCTCTTACCTCTTTCTTGCATTATCCAAAGGTTATTTAGGAAAATAGTAAATTATGCTGAATCTGATGCCAAGAAAGCTAGGTTTCCCTCTTTCCCCCATCTATTTCGTGTTTTTAAGGAACACTTTTAAGCTTTGAAGAACTCAAGTTCTCACAGCCCAGAATCTGGCAGAGCTGGAATCTGAACCCAGTCTTTAATTTTCCACTGCTTAAACCTCTCAATCTCAGCATTATACTACTTTTGTGGAAATCACACTTGGGTATTCCTACTTCTCAACTCTAAACATCTTTATCAGATCCATATGGAATTTCTTTTCTTCTACTTTCCTCTTGTTTGAAGGTCTCCCTCACCCTGCCTAACTCTAAGTACAGCCAGTATCTTTACCATTTCATGGGTTTTCTAAGCTTGGGTGTGGAATATAACACTCCATGGATTCTGGGCCTTCCTTGCCATCCCTGATAACAAGTGTTGAGGCTTTTTCATTTCAGTGATCCTGCTGCTAATCACTAGGGGGATAAATGAAAGTAATAAACATAATAACAGCAAAATAATTACAGGGATGTTAACAAAGAATGATTTTTGTTGTTTTTATTCTAGAGTTCCCCATGAATTCACATTTTAATTTCTGCCTTCTATTTCTTAGAATGGATTCACTGTTTACACCCCTTCTGAGTCTACCATTAAGACACATTTCATGTCTTGGTATTTGAAAGGTAAAAACAGAGTAACAGGGCCTTTGGTTTCTATAGACCATTTAACTCATGAACTTCTAGACTGGGTAGTGAGTTTAGCAGATCTTTACCAAGATTAAAAATGAATTCTGGTTGTTTCTACACTGCATCTGTTCCGAGCTAGATGAGTCTTTTAGCAGAGTTCATGGCACATAGGTGTGCATTCAAAAATCAGCATTTGTTAACTATGTGCTAGGTGTAGGGCATGCAAAATTAAGCTGTCCATAGTCATGCGTACAGGAACCTACCCAGTGTGGTAACTTCTACATAGCATTGTAGGGGCAGAAAATTTTTCTTCTACCCTTCTAAGTTCTTTGCCTGGTCTAATAATCGTATTGACACAAGACAGATTCATAGGAGGAAACCAAATTTCATTATGTGTGTATACATATAGGAGCTACATACAAAGTAATGACCAAAGTAGGTCATTTAATCTTTTAGACAATAAATTAGTGAGAATTGACAAGACAAATGGGGTTTGGATTTGGGGTAATAAATTGGTGAAGTAGCAAGGTTTGTTAATAGGCCTTCTGGCCCTGAATTCCCCATCTGGTGATAAGGAGGCCTTCTACTCTCGTGGTATAGGGAGGATACCTTTCACATAGATTCATCTCCTGCTTTTAGTGGGGACAAAGGAGGGGCAGAGTGTCCTTGTCCTTTATTTTGAAATAATGCCATAGTGCATATTTTGGGGTGGCATATTCTCTTTCAACATAAATGGGACTCAGATGGAGAGTGGTTTGACATCAGGAAAAGCGTGCTGTGGAGGGGCGTCTGACTGCATACATTCCTGTGTCAGATCCACTCACTGCTTTTGATATTTCGAACGAGTAGCTTCTCAGTGCCTGTTTCCTCACTGATAAATCAGGCTAATGGTGGGATTTCCTGCACTGGACATTAACTGCGAGTTAATTCAAGAACAGCTCTCGAAACAGTGCCTGGCACGCATCAACAGTGCCGTACATCTCCTTAGGGCTGGGGTGCCAGCGGCACTTTAGCATGACGGTTGTCCTCCAGGCTGACGACACCGGGGAAGCCGTGTGATTTTTGCACCGCACACTGCTTCCCAGCCAGCCGTGTTCCAGACGCTCTATCTCCACAGCCCCACTGGAAAGGCCAGTTCTTCAAAGTGGAGGCCGGCCCACTCATGGTGATGAAGGCGGGTGGCGCCGTCTGCCCTCGCTCAGCCTCTATCTTCGGCGGTCACCCCCGGTCCCACAGGTCTCAGGAGCCTCCACCCCGACTCCGGGAAGAGGCGCGCCATTGCGCGCGCCGCCCCGCCCCGTGCCCTCGCGTGACCCGACGTGCCGGGCGCGCACGCAGGGGCCCCGCCCGCGGCGTCCGAGGCCGAGGGGCCGCGGGAGGCTCCGACAGCTCGGGAGAGGGAGGGGGCGTGGCTTCCCGGCAGGGTGGGTGGCCGCGCCTTATTCCCGCCCCCATCGGCCGCTGCCTCTGCGCGCCAAAATCAAACCCCAGGACCCGCCGGCTGGAGAACCTGCTGCAGCGGGAGCTCAGCTTGCGTGTCAGGTCGCGTTCGGCAGTGGCGCGAGCTCCAGCGCGCGCACCTGTGGCCACTTCCCAGCCCTCCCTGCTTGCGCTCCGGGCCGCCGCAAGACCAGAATGGCCACCCCGCCGAAGAGGAGCTGCCCATCTCCCGCGACCGGCTCTGAGGGGACCCGCATCAAGAAAATTGCCATCGAAGGCAACATCGGTAAGGAGCCTCGGGAAATGTTCCCAAAGCAGCGGGAGCCGCGGCGGCGGCGGCGGCAGCGGCAGCCGCCTTCCCCTGCATCTCTGCTGCTCCTCAGTGAGGGCCTTCTACCCGCCGGGCTGTGTGGATGCGGACGCGGCCTCGAATTCCCTTCGCCCCGAAATCCTTTTGCCCCGCCTTGCCTAGCTTCTGCCGGTCCCCGGGAGTTGGCGGCGGCCTCGGGGCCGCGGGCCGTGCGCGCCAGAGCGTTCGGGCCTCGTGAAGGTGCACTTTGGGCCAGTTTCCTCCCCTTGTTGGGATTGCGCAAAGGGAAGGGCTGTTCTTGGTTTTGTTTTTGTATTGGGTGTGTGTGTGTGGGTGTGTGTGTGTTCTTGAGGTGTGATTTATGTACATTAAATTATCCTTTTTTAGGTGTCCTCTTCAGTGAGGTATGACACACACATTAATGCTGTTTCACTGTCTTCATGATCAAGGTTCAGTACGTGTTTATCACCTCAGAAAGTTGCCTGGCGCTCTTTCGCAGTCAGCAACCTTGCACTCCTACCCCTTGGCAACCACTGACTGGGTTTCTGTCCCGCTAAGTGTTGCCTTTTTCCAGACTGTCCTAGAGATGGAATCCGAGAGTACGTAGCCTCTTGTGGTGTCGCCTCTTTTATTTAGCACGATGCTGCTTTTATTTTAGCGCATTGCTTGTATCTGTAGTTCTCTTTCATTGCCGAGTAGTATTCCAGTGCATGGGTGTACCAGTTTCTCTCTCCCCAGCTCTGAGCATTTGGATGGTTTCAGTTGTAACGGTTATGGATAAAATGGCTCTAAACATTCCAGTACAAGGGAAGAGACTAGGAAAGAGTTTTTTTTAATGATCTTAATATCATGGCGTCCCTCACTCTTGGCCCCCACATCCAAGTAAACATTGGCTTATGATTGAAAGATCCACATGTTTCTATTCCTAACCCAGATGAGGGCAGAATATACCATGCATGTCAATTTGCAAGGTACATCTGAACTTACATTCTTCTGTGTTTCCTACCACAGGAAACCTATGCCTGGCACTTCCTGTTCTGATAGAATTTTTTTGGCTCCAAGTTGGGTACTGGTCATTCATGCATACAGCAAATGTTTTTTTAATTCTTAACTGCATTCAAAACTCTTGTACTTCTTTAAAAAGATGGGGCAAATGCTCTAGCAGCATTCCAAGGAGTCGAAAATAGCTGAGCACACTCTTAAAGAGGAGATCTTGTTGCATTGCTCCAGTATTCAGGCACCAGTGGAAAAGAGCCTCCTAATAGACTCTCATTACCTCTTAGGATAAGTTCTTTGAAGTTGAATGTTTACTAGTAGGGTTCCCCATAGCTACATATTGGATAAAGATGAACATATGTAAAGGAGGAAGTGGTTGAACAAAGCCATTTCAAAAGTCAATTTAAATGAACAACCTTTAGATCAATACCACGATGAGTTAATCCCCTTCCATTTCTTAAATCCAGTTAAGCAACATATCTAGAAAGTTACTACTCCCCAAGCATCTTTAATCTTCCCAGCACCTGAAATAATTTCCTAATATTTCACCCCATCTCCAGTTTCTCTTACCAGCTCCAGAGCAGACTTTTTATATACAAATCTAATTGTGTTATCCTCTACTTAAAATTCTCTAATTTCTCCATTACCTACACTGGAAGGACCTGCAAACTGGCAAACTGGTGTCTTGCATTTGCACAATAGTGGCCCACATAGATTTGGGGGGAAAAAAGAAATTAATGAATTGCTAGCATTTAAACATTTCGAGATTTCTTTTGAACATCTAGATTCTTGGCATTTCTTAAAATATCTGAAGATCTGGTAACACTGGTCCTGTGTTTCTATTAGATAACAATTTGCTATTTAGATGGATTGTGTTCCTTACCACTCACTGTTTTCCTGACACTGAGGCTTTGTCAGTTGCTGTTAATGTGCTAGCACTGTTGTTTCTGTCCCTTCCACCTTATTTGCAAGACCCAAATAAGTATAAATATACAAATTGCTAATATGTGTGTAGAAGATTATTTTGTGATTCCTAGAATTTGAACTTCAACTGGTCATTTTAGTTTTATACTCATGTAACTTCTCACGCTCTTTGTTACTAAAATACACACTTGTGTTAGATTTCTGGAGGCCTTACCTGCTTCTTCTCATCTTAATAGTTTGTATAGATGATTTTTGGCATCATAATACCTGCTTGGCATTAGTAATTCTGTTAGGTCCCATGGCTTTTTAAAGTTTTAACATCAGTGTCTTTGATCCTTGTTCTCCTTTGCTTTCATAGAGTATTAATTTATAATTGGCTTACTTTTTAGCTCCCTACTTTCCCCCCAAAGTTAAGGAATTAGATATTAATCTGATTGGAGTGACAGGTAACTATTGTTACTCTGCTTGAACTAAAGAATGATTTTAAAGAATAACTGTTTTTGCTCTTAAAATTTTAGAGTATGACCACATGAAATTTTTCTGTTTGTAGGCATGTCAGAAGAAAGCTGAATGTTCTAGCTTTGAATGCTTTCAGGCTCTGGCTGATGCATGATTTTTTAATGTGTTCCTTGGATTCTCTTTCTTTTTTTTTTTTTTTAATTAAAAAAAATCATTTATTTATTTATTTTAAAGATTTTATTCATTTATTTGACAGAGAGATCACAAGGAGACAGAGCAACATGCAGAGAGAGGGGGAAGCAGGCTCCCTGCGGAGCAGAGAGCCGGACGCAGGGCTCGATCCCAGGACCCTGAGATCATGACCCAAGCCAAAGGCAGAAGCTCAACCCACTGAGTCACCCAGGCGCCCCTTCTTCTTCTTCTTTTTTTTTTTTTTTTTAAGGTTTTATTTATTTATCTGTTAGAGAGTGAGAAAGGGAGAGCACAAGAAGAGGGAGCAGGAGGCAGAGGAAGGAGCGTACTTCCCGCTGAGCAAGGAGCCCAATGTGGGACTCCATCCCAGGATCCCAGTGGGACTCAATCCCTGGATCCTGGGCTCATGACCTGAGCCAAAGGCAGATGCTTAACTGGCTGAGCCACCCAGATGTCCCGATTGGATTCTCTTTCTGAACATCATGTTTTCCTTTCCTTCCTCCATCTAGTTCAGTGAATGGCCAGTGATCGTTTATATGCTTCTGCTTACCATGCTAAATGCTCCATTCGAAATCTGTTGTCACCAATCTTTTTTCCCGTGATTAAATCATGGTCATCTAGTTTATCCTTAAAACTTTTTCCCCTTTCCTGTGGTGATAATATAATATGACTTTGTGTGTTGCTTCTCAGCAGTTCTTTGTTCTATGTTACCTTCTTATTGACTCCCTTCCATCCCTGTTTTTGCTCTATGTGTGATCTTCTAAAAAAAAAAAAAAAAAAGAATTTATTTATTTGAGAGAGGGACTGAGGGGTGGGGCAGAAGGAGAGAATCTTCAAGCAGACTCCCAGCTGAGCTTGGATCCTGACACGGCGCTTCATTTCATGACTCATGAGATCATGACCTGAGCCAAAACCAAGAGTCAGAAACTCAACCAACTGAGCTATCCAGGTGTCCCTCTATGTGTGATCTTTTAAAGTTCTTCTGTTTTTTCTTCTTTTCTATTGCTTGTGTAATGTCCTAGATTTGAATATAGTATTCAAGTCAAAAGTAAGTTCTTTTTGCCCTCTTTGGATACAGTTTATAAGGATGTGGAACCTTTCCTTTTAAGCTTGCAGAAGCTGCTTTTTTATATTTTAATCCGTGTGTGTATTTTTATATACATATGGAGAGAAAAAGAGAGAGAGCACATTATGCTGACCAGAGATGTCTAATACAACCACATTTGGTGACTTCAGATAGGAAGGGTGTGGTGGTCATTAGGAGTGTTGCTACACCCTGTTGAATTCTAGGTCAAGACTTTTCCCTACTGTTAAATGGAATGTATTTCCAAGTAGTATTAAAATAGTGAATTAATATGTTCTGATTATATGTGAACTATTTCCCTATAGGTGTCTCAGAAGATAGTGAATGATCAGGGAGAAGCAAAGTACATACAGCTTTTTTTAAAAGGGTTGGATAAGTGCCCAGAACTGTGAAAGTGAAGCAGAGAAAACATGGCTATTCCTTATAAGGGTCTTTATAAAAATGTTTTTATAACTTCTGTTGGGTACTATGGCTTAATGTTGTGTAGTTATACAGTTAGTGTCATATAATCATACTGATTCTCATTGTAAAACTCTGGATATTGGATACATCTTTACATTGATTTTATAGTTCATTTGGCTGTTTCTAAGTTGGTTTTAGATGGCAAGGATTTAAGTTTGTAAACTGAGAGAATAGATCCAGTAGACAGAAAAATTTTGAAAAGGCAAGAGCCTATAATGATTGTCACTATAGTCATAGCTTGTTTATCACAACAGTTTCCATAAAGAGGGTATTATTATTTCCATTGTATTATGAAGAAACAGGCTCAGAGAAATTCAATGACTTGCCCAAGATCATATTTAATTTTTTTTTAAAAGATTTATTTATTTATTTGACAGACAGAGATCACAAGTAGGCAGAGAGAGAGGAGGAAGCAGGCTCCCTGCTGAGCAGAGAGCCTGATGCGGGGCTTGATCCCAGGACCCTGGGATCATGACCTGAGCGGAAGGCAGAGGCTTTAACCCACTGAGCCACCCGGGCGTCCCGATCACATATTTAATTAAATGGAAAAATAGCCTTAACCATTTCCCACAGTTATCTCTAATTACTTGATTAAGGAAAGTGAGGCTAGGACTAGGATTTTTTTTTTTTTCCTGCTGTAACACCTTGCCTACAATTTCACCAGGTTTTTTTTTTTTTTTTTTTTTTTTTAAAATTTTTTTTTTTTATTTGTCAGAGAGAGAGAGGGAGAGAGAGCGAGCACAGGCAGACAGAATGGCAGGCAGAGGCAGAGGGAGAAGCAGGCTCCCTGATGATCAAGGAGCCCGATGTGGGACTCGATCCCAGGACGCTGGGATCATGACCTGAGCCGAAGGCAGCTGCTTAACCAACTGAGCCACCCAGGCGTCCCTCACCAGGTTTTAAATTCTTCTGTTCTGTAGCCTTGATAAGCTGAAAACAATAACAAATGTGTCTAATACAAGTGGTAGGGATCCTTTTAGTTTTTATTAAAATAAATCTAAAGAGGAAGTTTAAGAAATTGGATATTTTTGTTTTTTGTATTTTTGCTGGTATAAATTTTGAAAAAGTTGATGACTATTTTGACTTTTTTTTTTTTTTTCCCCTAAGTCTCCTTCTTCAATTTTCTTTTCCTCTCACAACAGCTTCAGGGAAGACAACATTCGTGAATATCCTTAAACAGGTCTGTGAGGATTGGGAAGTGGTTCCTGAACCTGTTGCCAGGTGGTGCAATGTTCAAAATGCTCAAGGAGACTGTGAGGTATGAAAACAAAATTAACTAAAAAAAATAAATTCCTTTTGCTTTAGAGGACCAGTGGTATTTAACATTTTGGGTTTTTTTTTTTTTTTCCCCTAATAAAATTTTCAAATCTAGCTTTAAGTCTGTATCTTCATCTTCATATATGGGTGTGTGTGTGTGGGTGTATAAACATTCATTGAGCAATGCACTCAAGATTTATGTACTCATTGCATCTAAGTAGAATTTTAAGAGTTTTTAAAAATTAATTAAAAAGTTAAAAATATCTAATTGCAAATTAAATTCCTTGAATAGATTTTACATTTTGTTTAAAAACTAGTGAACAGGAAAACAAAGACCAAAAAACCATCTGGTACCTTAATTTTATTAGTTTACCTTTTTTTGTTTTTAAGATTTATTTATTTGAAAGAGAGAGACCGAGAGAGCATGAGTGGGGAGGTGAGGGAGAAGCAGGCTCCCTGCTGAGCAAGAACTGCCCCCCCCCCCCCCCCCCCCCCCCCCCCCCCCCCCCCCCCCCCCCC